GGGGGGCACGGGGGGGGGTCACACAGACCGGGGGGGTCACACAGACCGGGGGGGTCACACAGACCAGGGGGATCCCCCGGGCACCCCCGGGCTCCCCGCACAGCCCTGCACCCCCCCGCCCCCTGCCCCGAGCCCCCCGCCCGGGCTGCGCAGAGGCGGCTCCTGGGGCGGGGGGGGTCACACGGATCTGGGGGTCTCACCCGCCCCCCCCACCCCCGAGGGCTGAGGGCGGTGCGGGGGCGACACCCCCACACCCGGGGGTCCCACTCCCCCACACCTAAGGGTCTCACTCCCCTCCCCCGGGGGGTCCCATCAGCCCCCCCGCACCTGAGCGCTGACGGCGGTGCGGGACCGACACCCCCCCGCGCAGTAGGTGACGCGGACGCCCCGCAGGACACACGCGCCCTTGGCGATGGTCCGGAGAGCCGTGAGGAGCCGGCACGGCCCGGGGGGCTCCTCTGGGGGGTGGGGAGGCGGCGTGAGCGAGGGGGGGCTGCCAGGGCCGTCCCCTCCCCCCGCGGTCCCCAGGTGCGGGGTCTCACCTGGCCACTCGTCCCGGCACACGGGGCAGCAGCTCCCGGGCTCCCGCACCGCCTCCGTGCCCTGCGGGGACCCCGCGCTCAGCCCCTGCCCGCGGGGACACCCCCGCGCCCCCCCGGGGCCCCCCTCACCTCCGGGCAGGTGAGCGCGGGGCAGGTGGTGGCACAGGTGACACGTCCCTCGGCGCAGCGGCAGGTCCCGCACTGCTCCTGCCACTCGCTGTCGGCCTGGGGGGGGACAGGAGCAGAGACCCCAAAACACGGGTCAGGGACCCCCCAAAACACGAGGTAACTTCCCAAACCCGAGGGATCCCCCCAGCACGGGGTGCCCCCCTAAACATGGGTCAGGAACCTCCAAACACGGGTCAGGGACCCCCCTAAAGCATGGGGGAACTCCCAAACCCCAGGGATCCCCCCAGCACTGGGTGCCCCCTAAATACGGGTCAGGACCCCCCCACAAACATGGGGTAACCACAAACGTGAGGGATCTCCAAACACAAGGAACCCCCCCAAACGGATCAGGGACCCCCAGACACAAGGGACCCCCTCAGAAACGGGATACACCCCCGGACACGGCGCCGGGAACCCCCAAACGCAGCAACCTCCCACATGGATCAGGAACCCCCAAACCCAGGTCAGGGACCAACCCCAGACACAACCCGGGACAGAGACACCCAAACACGGGATGTTCCCCCGAACATAAGGGATCGCCCCCAGCCCCGGGGCAGGGCCCGGCCCCCCCGCGCCGCTCACCGCTCGCACTCCCCCGCGGTGGCGGCACCCGCAGCCCCCCGCGCTCACGCACTGCCCGGATTCGTTCCGGTACCGCCCGGGGGCGCAGGAGCAGCGCGGGGCGGGGGACGGGAGGGTCCCGGGGGTCGCGGGGGTCGCGGGGGTGTTCGAGGTGCCGGGGATGCCGGGAGTTCCAGGGGTCCCGGGGGTGCCGGGGGTCCCGCAGGTGCCGGGGGGCTCCGCCAGGTCGTGGCAGCTGCGCTCGCAGGCGGGGCCGGGGTCCAACCAGACCTCGCCCGGGGGGCAGCCTGGGGGCACCGGGGATGGCACCGGCACCCGGCCCTCCCTCCTTCCGGCTCTCCTCCCTCCACCCCTCCCTCCCCCGGCCCTCGCTCCTTCCATTGCCCCGTCCCCTCCATCCCTCTCGTCCCCTCCTATCCCTCTTTCACTCTCTCCCTCCCTCTTTCCCCCCGACCCTCCGGTCTTTCCTCCCTCTGTCCCTCTCCCCAACCCTCCGTCCCTCCATCCTTCCGTCCCCCTGTCCCTCCCTCCATCTCTTTCCTCGTCCCTTCAGCCCTTTCTCCCTCCTGCTCTCCCTCCCTCCATCCCCCCCCTTTCCATCCGTCTCCCCATCCCTCGATTCCTCCCCCCCCCGTCCCTCCCTCCACTCTCCCGTCCTTCCATCCCTCCATCCCCTTTCCCCCTCCATCCCTCTCTCCATCCCCTCCAACCCTCTCTCCTCTCTCCCTCTCCCCGTGGCCCCTCTCACCGGCACAGGGTTGGGGGTTACACTCCGCCGTCTCCTCCCCGGGGGTCTCCCCGCACGGGGACCCCCCCTCGGGGCCCTCCCGGCACTGCCGGTGCCGTGTCCGGGTGCCACGGCCACAAGTGCGGGAGCAGCGGGACCAGGGGGACCAGGGGGACGCGGCGGGGGACGGGGGGGACACGGGGGACAGGGGGGACACGGGGGACACGGAGGACACGGGGGACAGAGGTGTCACGGGGGACACGGGGGACACGGGAGACAGAGGTGTCACGGGGGACACGAAGGACGCGGAGGGTGAGTGGGACCAGGGGGACGCGGGGGCTAAAAGGGGGGACGTGGAGGTCGTAGGGGACAGGGGCGACGAGGGGGACAGAGCGGACA